GGGGCGCCTGGGGTCCTAAGTGCCAGCCGCCGGGGCTCCAGTCAGGGGGCTTTCTGGATGCACTTTGCACTGGGCCACCCCCGCCCCCTCCCTCCAGCACTTTGGGGTCACTGGGATGGGACCAAGCCTTCAGCAGCCAATCAGCGGCCGCACTGGAGCCCGAGCCCGGAGCCGTAAACCAGGTCCGGAGTGGGTGGCGGTGGGGGGTGGGGGCGACTTGGTTGGCTGGTGGCTTCCTTCTCTCCTCCTCAGCCCCAGCAGCCCCACCCCTTGCCTGCCGTAAAGCCGACTGCGCACTCGCGACAGTTAGAGGAGGCGGGGCGAGCGGAGCTGGGACTCGTCTCTGATTGGCCTTCGCTCATTCACCCCGCGGCTTCCCCGCTGCGGCTTCCAATGCCCCGCCCCTAGCGCTGGGACTCAAAACGGTTGCTAAGAGACACGGTACGCCGACTGGGGCCTCTGCGCATGCGGGAGGCGGGGCCGGCTTGGACTTTCTGTGAACTACGGTGGCCCGGAGGGGGCCGGGGTTCGCTGGAATGGCGATGCGGAGGCAGAGGGGCTGGAGCTGCATCCTGACAGGTACCTGAGAGCGGCCGCTGAGCTCGGCGGGCAGGGGAGCCGTGTGTGCGGCCGGCTGAGAGGCTGGCCCGAGGGGTTCAGGTGGGGGAGGCGGCAGTCCCCGGAAGCGAAGAGGGGGGCGCCTTTCGGCCTCGAGCGCCTCGTCCCCTAGGCCCCGTTAGCTCCAGGCTGAGCCTAATGGCGGTGACGCGTCCAGGGCTTTTTCCCACAAGGAGAGCGAGCCTCACGATTCCCGTGAACGGAGGAGGGAAGAGACTAGAAAACGTGCGAGAGGGACGTGTTTGTTTAAAGTGCATGTGTTCATTGAGCGAGTGATTCCTGGCCGGGCGCTGTGCCGGCCGTTAAGAGAAACTGCGGTGAACCCGACTGACGCGTCGACCTGCCCCCTCCCCCGGCGCTTTCCCTTCAGCGGCGGAGACAGAAAGGCGCGAAACGGACCGATTCCGGGAGAATATGTGAAAGAAAACCCAGCCGGATAACGGCGTGGCGTTGGACCGGCGCGGGATGGGTCTTTTCGATAGGTCGTCGGGAAAGGCCTCTGAGGAGGTGGCGCTGGAGCTGCGGCCTGAATGAGGGGCGCCTGCCTGGCCCAGACCCGGGGGCAGGCGGAGGACCCACCTGCAAAGCCTCTGACGCTGGGAGGCAAAGCCTTGGCCGTTTATACGAACTGCAGGAAAAGACCAGCGTGGTCGAGCAGAGTAAGGGGGAGATTGGTTAACGAGGTTGGGGGTGTGGGACGGGCTGCAGATCTTGCAGGACCTTGTCTGTCGGCCACGGTAGGGAAGTTCCTGTATCGTATTTATTATTTGTTTTGTTGTTTTAAATTTAATTTTTTATTTTTTTGTTTTTGTTTTTTAATTCTGTTTTTGTTTAAGATATTACAGATGTCCCTTTTTTCTCCCCAATATCACATGGTCTCGCTTACGCGTGGAATCTAAAGAACTTAATAAACTGATGAGCAGAATAGATTCAGTGACGTGGAAGCATAGAGGAGACCGACGAATGTCAGAGGGATGGAGGAGGGCGGGTGGGTGGAGGGGGAGAGAGTAACCAAAGAATTTATATGCATATGTGCACAACCCAAGGAGATGGACAATCGTATTTATTATTTGGAAAGATCACTGACTGCCCGAAGGAGAAGACGAGCTGGGAGCTATTGTCCTGCAAATAGGGAAGGCTATCGTCCAGGCAGGAGTGGACATTATTTTTATTTTTTTATTTATTTTTTATTTATTTTTAAAATATATCTTTATTGATCTCAGAGAGAGGAAAGGAGAGGGAGAGAGAGAGAGATAGAAACATCAATGATGAGAAAGCCATTGATCGAGCCCGCAACCCGGGCATGTGCCCTGACCGGGAATCGAACCCCGATCACCTGGATCCCAGGTCCACGCTCAACCGCTGAGCCACGCCCGGCTGGGCTGGACATTATTTTTAAACTGTCACCCGATACACCAGGCATTTGGCTACCACCAGGGTCCTCCTAGAAAGGCCTACCGAGTTGTATAAAAGAAGTAATTTCAATATGTCAGCTTCTTTTATGTAGCAAAATATATTAAGATGTTTTGTGGCAGATGGCGGCCACTGCAGACACTTTCAGTTTGCCCTGGTATTTTCTTGTACATTTTCGTTTACTCAAGAATACTCATTTTGGTGCCTTTCGAATGAGCTACCTATTGTCCTTACGTAGGAGAGATATGGGAGAGAAACATCCATCAGTTGCCTCCCATATGCACACAGACTGGGGATCCGNATCCATGGGAGAGAAACATCCATCAGTTGCCTCCCATATGCACACAGACTGGAGATCCGACGCTCAACCTAGGTATGTGCCCTGACTGGGAATTGAACCCGCAGCCTTTTGGTGTACGGGACGGTGCTCCAACCTACTGAGCCACCCAGCCAGGGCTAGTTTCCTTTTCTTGTGGTAGCCTTGCCTGCTTTTGGTATCAGGGTAATACTGACCCTGTAAAATGAGTTTAGAAGTGTTCCCCCCTCTTCTGTTTTTTTTTTTTTTTTTGGAAGAGTTTGTGAAGGATTGGTATCAATTCGTTAATGTTTGGTAGGATTCACACTGAAGCCATCTTGTCCTGGACTTTTGAGTGTTGGGAGGTTTTTTTATTTTTTATTGTTGATTCAATCTCCTAGGTAGCAATCTGTTCAGATTTTCTATTTCTTCATGATTCAGTCGTGGTAGATTATATGTTTCTAGGAATTTATTTCTTCTAAGTGGTCCAGTTTGTTGGCATAGAAAATTATATTCAAGCTTAACACAAAAGGAAAAGTGGAAGAGATTTCTAGGCAGAGGGAACAGCATTTTATCAAGATCCAGAGTCAGATCCTGTACTTTCTTAATTCTTTGAGCATGTACTACTTTGCTGTGGTGGGGGAGGTAACCTTATTTTTTCAACTGGAAATCAAATCTTATTTGTGTGCACAGGATTCAGGAGTTCAGAATCTAGGTAGTGCTGTTGTCACATTGATAGTCAGTCCTTAAACTCTACGCTGCCCCTGGTGCTGGGTTTTGGGGGGGGGGGGGGGAAGGACTAGGGAAAGGGGTAGAGATTGGTAAAGGGGAATGAGTGAAGAAACATTTCATTCTGAGCATCACTTAAAATGTAGGACATATTCTAGCAACTAAGGGTAGAAAAGTCTTGTTTCTTATATTGATATTTAGAGCTGGGTTGGGGAACCTTTTTTTCTAACAAGGGCCATTGGATATTTATAACATCATTCGCTGGCCATACAAAATTATCAACTTAAAAATTAGCCTGCTATATTTGGTCAAACATTTAATTAATTCACCCCTAATGTGATGGCTGGAACTGCTTCTCTTTGGTGAGGCCTTGGTAGGGCCAGACCAAAAGATTTTGCAGGGGCTGGATGTTCCCCACCCAGGCACTAGAGGTTTTCCATTAAAAAAAGCAAAACACTGCATAGCATTACCATGATATAATAGATATCTAATGTGTTCAGATTCCTTATCAGTAAAAACGAGTAGCTTGGTCATTGCTTATCTAAGTATAGTCCCTAGTCCAGTTCCTGGGCCATCCCCAGACCCATTGAATCACAACTGCTGGGGCTGGGCCCAGCTATATCATGTTTTAACAAGCCTTCCAGGGGATTTGGAAGCCAGAGTTTGAGAGCCACTGGTTTAGATAATCTCTGAGATTTTTTTTGGTACTAAACTCTCAAATTCTAACATCCAGCACCAATCTGCACTGGTGCAAAAAAATTTGCCTTTGGGGAGGGGTCAGTTTAATAGCTCTATATGGGAAAGATACAAGTGGTTATTTTTTGTTGATCAAGTTTATATTAAATGTTGCCATCCCTCTATTATTGCAGGCTTCTGCGAACAAAACTGCTTCATTACTTGTCTAAAGCCAATACAGGCTTTTCATGAATGTATCCAGCAGGTGAACTAGGATCCTAGAGGAGTTGTCAGGTTATTGAGATGATATGACCTCTTGCTTTTGCATGGCTTCCCATCTTTGAGACTGTGCCCTGCCCCCCTTTCAGAGGTCCCATTATCTGTTAGCAGGTGCTTAGTGCATTTCTTAAGAAGAATCTGGCGTTCCAGCATTATTTATAGTAGCCAAGATGTGGAAACAACCTAAGTGTCCATCCATGCAGGAATGGGTAAAGAAACAAACAAAAAATCCCACCAAGCTTATAGATATGGCATAGATTGGTGTTTGTCAGAGATGGGGGCAGGAGGAAGGGGAACAAATGGGTGAAGGGGTGGGAAAGGTACAGATTTCTAGTTATAATGTAAATAAGTCCTGGGGACGTAATGTACAGCATGGTGACTATAGTTACTAATACTAATTGCATGTTTGAAAGCTGCTGAGAGAAAAGTTCTCATTACAAAACTATGTATGTTTAAGGATATTACTAGACTTACTGGGTTTTTTAAAATATATTTTTATTGATTTCAAAGAGAGGAAGGGAGAGGGGGAGAGAGAGAGAAACATCAATGATGAGAGAGAGTCATTGATCGGCTGCCTCCTGCCCGCCCACAACCTGGGGCACGTGCCCTCACCGGGAATCGAACAGCGATCTCCTGGATCCTCAGTCAGTGGTCAACCGCTGAGTCACTCTGGCCGGGCACTAGACTGTGATAATCATTTACAGTATATATACACACCTGAACGAAGATATATGTTGAACACCTGAAACTAATATAATGTTATAAGTCAGTTATATCTCAATAAAAAACAAGAGGAAGAATCTGGTAAGCAGTGTTTTATATTTGTGCCTGTCTTAACTTGCTGCCTCTTAAAAATGGGGGAGGAGTATTTTTTTTCTCTCAGAATGAACTGTGTTCATTTATTTTTTAGAAGCAACTTGGCACCATAAATAGAAATGCAAAGGAAGTAAAAGGAAGCAGTGGCAGGGCAGCCAGTCCCGCCAAGTGTTGTCCTGCTGGGGCGTGGGGAATGCTGGCAGACGTGCACTGGGGATTGTTACAGGAACAGTCTCATTTAATCGAGCCCTGCCAGCACCGTGACCTGGGTACCCTCATTGTGCCCCTGGAAGGAGAAGGAGACTGAGGGTTAGAGGATTACGTGCCCCCTGGTGACCCTGATGTGGTAGAACCATTTGACTCTTGGTCCCAGATCTCAGGCAGATGCAGGGCAGGTATTAAGTGTTCTTAGTGATTCAGCAGGAACCTGGAAACTGGTTAGAAATAAAACTTATTGGGTCCCATCCCAGGACTACCCTGTCTGGAATTCCTGGGGTGAGGCCCTACACTCTTCCAAGTGCTTCTGAGGCAACTGAAACCTGAGCACCATTGTTTCAAGGAAATGAGCAAGGAGGGATGGTCTACCCCCGGGGCTAGTAACTGCCAGTACCTGCTCTAGGCCCCTAAGGGTAAATCGGAGCAGTTCCTGAAACTAGAAG